TCTGCCTGGAGAAGTCTGCATAAACTTTCAGAATATTAAAAAAAAAAAGAAAGGCACAGTCTTTATAGATCAGCTCAAAATTTTATTATTAGGAAAGCACATTACAGTAACTGTAGAGAAAACCTGGTTTACGCTCTCTTTTTAAGTGTCCACTTTTCATCTTGACTCTAAAAAATAGCCCTTTCAAACTGAAAAATTGTCTAAACCTACCGATTATTTCAACTTCAACTGCCTCACAGTTTGGTTCTTTGGGCTGTCATATATGCTGTCATATACATCCCAAAAATATGTTTCTTTAGAGTGGGAGATGATGGTTCTATTGTCAACTTGTCTCTGACTCTATTAAAACAGAGGAAATAAGACTTTCTCTGTAAAAATACTAACACATCTGAATAAAAACATTGGGCTTTAACAAATCTAAAGTTCTGATACTCAAAGRTAAAGTAGCTGTCAAATGTTCATCACTATTCTTACAGTTCTTCCTTTTTTTTTGGCCCCTCCTTTTGCAAAAAGGATCCTTGCTTTCTGTTTTGACAAAATCCTGTACTTGTTTTACACCAAGTATACGGTTCCTGTGAGAGCTGGATGAAGTCAATAAAATTGAGAATGACAGCCGTGTGCTGGAAAGTCTAGATTCTTCAAGAATCTCTAAAAAATATGTATCTAGTGTTGAATGCTGAAGATTATTAAATGTGATCTACAGCCATGTGTTCGATACCAACGGAAAACACCGTATACCTCTGCTGGGAAACTGTTTACTAGGCAATCTTCAGTGCAGCACAAGAAGACTATATTGTGTGACTTTTTGCCTCTTGGTAGCTGAGAGAGGAARTAAGAGATCTTGCTGCTTCTATTTATTTCCATTTTCAATAAAAATACCTTTCTTATTCTTTTTTTTTCCTTTTTTTTTGGATAAAAGTTTTTTTTCAGGCTAGCTGTCTGCATTCACTAAGGATTAGGAAAATAACATACTGCTTACATAGAAAGTATAGCTGAAAAYAAATCCAGGAAGAAGGTTTTGCACAGAGAACAGAATTTTTATGGTTTGTAGTTTCCAATAGACATTTGAAATACAAGCCTGTAAATGTTGCAATCAATATATGCAGCAAATGGAAATGTTATAGAAAAAAATATTAAAAACCCAGTACAAGATAGTAATAAAGTATGAGAAATAAAAATGAAGATTACACCATAAACCTAAACAAACAAAAAAATCAGAAACTAAGTATTTTTGTCTAAAATGTATTAGGAATTTTCTCCCTTTTTGTTTCACAATTCCTATTGCTGCTAGGATTTAACGTTTATTCCAGTCGATATCAGGACTGTTCTTAAAGAGATATTCTGCCTATAAAGAGAAGAATTTCAAAATTACAATTATTTTCATGTCTCCAAATTTGAAATCTATGCAAAATAACAAAGATAGAGTTTTAAACAAAATTGCAGAATGTATTAAACAGCCCTAAAATGTAACCCATGGCAGCAAATGTCTCTATGTCAGAGAAATCTCTTTCCCTCAAATACCATCCAAAATATAATTGATCTCATTSTCCTTCTTCATAGCAGTCACTGTATTCCTATCGTGGGCAAGAGAAGGAAGTGAACCATTTATAACAGTATTTGTGACTCCATGGAAAACTCTAGGGAGTAACCTAGGCCCTGATTTCTGAACCCTGATACCAATCTCTAGAAGCTATGAAGTTATCAGGGAAAGTCTCATACTCCTACAGCTACAGGTAATTGTCGCTCACCAGTAAGAGAAAAGGATAAACCAAGAGAACATCCCTTAGTGCCTGAAGTGGGATTGCAACACCACTGCTTTCATTTTAAGCTTTTACTTGATTAATAAAATGCTCTATTTCAGCTTGAGAAGAGCTTGGTTAGGATGTGCAGCCAGAACTGCAGCACAGCAATAACATTACACCACCTGTATTCCTGTCTGAATGCAATGCTGACCCTACTTTCAGCTGAAAGTTGAGCTGGATAACTTCCTGAGGTCATTTGCAACTGGACTTAGTCTATGAATATCCTATAGGATTTTCTCCTTTATTTATGTGTGGATTGTGAAAGGAATTACCAAAGAGCTTGCATTCATTGTCACAACAGTGTGTTCAGTTGTGCCTAGCCAGGTGTAGAGTGATGTGCCCCTTTYTGCAGGGTTCAAATTTTATATAATTTGAAAGTAGACATAAGTAGCTAGAATTTTTAGGCCACAAGTTGAACTTTATCTGAACCATATGGCTGTGTTTTTAAGTCAAAGGTGGATTACAGTGAAACCTGGCACTAATAATCAGAAAATTAACAATAGTTAGAATAGACAAAACTGCAGCTTAAACATTACTTAAATATTAATAGCTGAAGTGGACAGGCCATAGATCGTGGTATATGAACTGTAACAACCACATTATTGTAACAACCAAAACCAACTGAACCCCCCACTGAAACTGACCCAAGGGGGTGTGGAGGTGACCCCTTACCAACCCCTTGGTAACAGACTGCAAAGCAGGGCAACCAAATCTCAGACCCTCATATGGATGCTGGTCCCATGAGGGGATGACCTGTGAGGGATGGGGASTTTAGATTTTAAGGGCATCATTGCCCAGGGATTTCTTTGTGTACTCTCTCATGAGGCACCTAACTCCAGCTACCAGATGTTATAAAAAGCTCATTKTCACAAATAAATCTAATGGCAATAAAAGCCTAATGTCAAAAAGTTCTTTAACTTGCACTCCTCTATGCCACAGCAGAATTGTCAGGGTACCTAAGATATGCAGAGTGCACATACCAAAGGCGAAACATTCTGGTAGTGATTCTTGTCCTATCACTATTTAACTACACAAGATGCTACCTTGGATACACAGTATCAACTAATCCCATAAGGATCAGTTGCTGGGGTTTAATTTTCACAATAAATGCSGTCACCAGAATCACAGATTGTAATCATTAAGTAGTTGCTGTTGTGAAAGTGGGAAGAAAATTTAGATACTTTTGTCAACAGAGATTCTTCAGGTATACATGAGTATTCAAACTTATTTAAGAAACAAAACAGAATCACCTTACCAGAAAATTGACTGGATCATCTGGCCTGAACCTACAGCATTCATTTATCCCTTGCATAAGTGTTGGCATGACATTCTTCATTAAATAGTTACGTAGTGGAATAGACTGGGCCTCCAATAATTCTTGTTCTTGTTTCTTCACTTCCTCCAGCTGTTTATTCTACAAGTAATGAAGAAAAAAATACAATAATAAATAATTATGTTTATAATATCTATCAAATAGCATTTGGCTAAATAACTGTGCTGGTCTAGAGAGAAAAAAATGTTAGAATCTGTGGCCAAAACTTTAAAAAACAAGTTCATAGAAAAAATTATTAAATGCTTATTAAATTTAGTGGACACAACACACTGCGCATGTAGAGCTGAACATGGAAAGAACTGACATAATCTCCTTATTGAAATGATTTTATTTTTTTTCTTTAACACCTAAAAGGAAGCTTATTCTCAAGTCTTCCAGTGGCCCTGTTTCCATAAGGTATTTGGTAAAATGGTTGAAACACATTGTAGCACTTAAAGATTAATACTATTGCAAATGCAGATGGTTTTTGAGGCTTCTTTGAATTGGAGGGAGAGTATTTTTACTCAGTAGAGAGTCCTAGCTTTATGAATTTTTTAATTATAAATTGTGTTTGGTTTATTTGTTTCAGTTTGGTTTCCTTGGTTTGTTTCATTCTTATTTCATTGATGTTTTGGGGGGGCTTTAGAGGCAAATAGACTAAAACCACAGTGAATTACATCTCTTTACACCAGCAAAATTTATTTCCGAATTCAGGCAGATCAAATGCGATTTTTATACTCAAAAAGGAGGCGGGATGAGAAAATTAAACCACCACAAGATTCTGTTTCTTCCATTCATTAGCACTTAGTACCATGCATACTAGCAGTAGCTTTAGCCACAAGATTACTCCAACTCATTTTCATTGCTGTCTACTTTGCTCATTTTATTCATCCATAGCCGGAGTCATGTAGAGATACAGCAAGCAGATGATACTCTGAAGACTGCTTTTCTATAGGCAAGTATATATATTCTATTCTATATATTCTATAGGCAAGTATAACACAAAAGCAATGTTCAGATAAAACAGATACACCAATTTTTAACTTATTCACTCAATCCAGGAGTGCTATTGAATAAATCTTGCAAAGGGTCTTTGGTCACTGCTCAGAGACAACAGCTAATCTAGTCTCAAGGCCAAATGAATAGTTGCTTAGATTTCCTGAGCATCTGCCTATTTAAAAGGATAACCTTAAGCACAGCATTTGATCTAAGCACTTAGTTCAGCTTTGATTAATGCACCATTTGCGCTTTTAAAGGCAGATGGCTTGGATTGAATACAGCTAAAATGTGTTAACTATCCTTCCAGGATTCAAATATAAGAAAAGGACTGCTCTGTGGAATGATCCCTTTGTTTTTAAATAGCTCTAAGAGAATACAATAGACTTGCCTTCTGGTGAAATAACCTGGCTTCCAACAGGAACATTCTTAGAGTATGCATTTCAGGTCATTTAACATAAAGGTCCTTAGGTGTGGCAAAGTAAATAAGAAAAAAGCATCACATTCAAATCCTCTGGTGTCAAGTAGCCTAAAAACCAAGTACTTGTTAGATTATTAGCAAATAAAAACCATCTCTCAGACTGCATCATGTAGTCCTTATGAACCGAGTACACAGCTCTCACACATGTCCTTGCAGGCTTAGAAACATTTCTGCAATGCAGGCTAGAATGTTGGTCAGTGCTGAGTTAAAAATCTAGAAAAATAATTAAGACTTAGTCAGGCACTTAGAAGTAAAGTGAACAAAATGCAAAAGCCCTAGAAGACTTGRTAAGGAAAATCACCGTTGATTGTAGTAGATATTTATAAATGCTAAAATAGACCTACAGCACAGCAACAACAAGAGTACCATAAAAGTATTTAAAGACATTCTGTTACCAGAATGCAAAAAAWTGCTATGTTAGTAATAAAAAGGAGACTATATCCTGTAGAATGGGCTTCAAAATGCACTGTGAAGAAAGTCTAACCCAGATCTAAAACACAATAGAAGGAAAAAGACAATTTGTGCCACAATTYCCAAGTGTATTTGCATAACAGATTATTTGAAGCCATCTAAAACTCTCAAATAATAAGGTTTTCCCTAAAATATGTATTAACCTACCCACTCCTCCCATCTTGCCATTCTTTCAGCCCTTTCCTCAGCTTCTTTACGCTCTTGTTCAGCTTTTTCTTGAGCTTTTTTGATAAGGTGTTCCTCAGCGGCTTGGCGTTCCAAAGCCTCCTTTTCTTCATCTGTCAAGCCATAATTCCGAGATTCTCCAACTTCTTTGATGATCTTTGGTACAGTAAGTCTGTTCTCAGAATCTTCATATACAGCTACATCTTTTAAACAACACAAGAGAGAACCATTTCAAGGCTTTTGTCAACTACCAATTGTCAATTATTACGCAAGACCTGAAAATACATGGTGCTCATGTTGTTTGATTTTTCCAGAAAAAAATGTTGTTTTCAATTCCTTATAAACGTCAATTATTCGTTACACAGAATGAAGTTTTCTAGATCTGATTTTCTTTACCAGTTTCAGCTAAAATAGTTTGCCTTTTAAGATGATGTAAGGAAGAAATGTATTAAAATAAATTTTACAACTATTAATGACATTATCAATTGCAGCTTACCCAATTTTTCAAACATAAAAATGAGGTCAACTCATTAGATAGAAATACTCATAGATAAAAATACTTATCAACTATCAAAGGTGTTYTTGACACCAATCTTCTGTCAACTTATCCAGAAGCATAAAACCATGAGTTTTGTCATTCTCTCCCCTGTGACCACGATACAATAGTTTGTTAAGATTTGGCACAAACTCCAATGTTTTCACTCACACAGATTTAAAAAACACACCTCTCTCTAGTCAATCTCTTATTGTCTTGTATTTATAAAACAAATTTGTAGCTTCATGTAGGAATATAAAGCCTGAACAAGAACTCTTTCATTGCATTCTTTCTCCCTTTAAATTGCTGGAGGTTCCTTTAAATTTGTCAAGAAAGAAGAAAAGGAAAAAATACAGAAGAATGAGGACTTCCTCCAGGRCTCTCTAGTTTCTGTATGCATTCAATGTGGGGAGGCAGAAACAGTACAGGAATGTACATGGTAAAGAGGAAAAGTAGACATTTGAGGCAGAGAATACAGAGGTAAAGGGCTTGTTCAGGGACAAGAAATGGAAGATATAAAAAGCACAGAAATGGGTAAGGAGAGCAAGCAGATGAAGGGAAAAAGAAGAATTAGAATACAGAATTTAGAGAAGAATCCAGTAGTCCCCTGCTTCACAGTTCTTTAACAAGTTATGTTGAAAGCGGCATTGGCAAAGCGTTCTTCCCATTTCTTTCTAATCACCAATTCAGCCAGAATCAGACTCTCAAATACTAACACCATTTTTCCAAGAGTTAAAGTGTTTGGACTTCAAGTCCAAACTCTGATCATGAATTGAGGAGGTAATTAATATAATTCTACATAATAAAATTTATTTTGCAGCTTCTTTCAAAAAATCAGGAATTACATTCCTGAAGTATTCTGAATTAAAGGAATACATTTGCTATGGCAAGCAATCCATCATTTTACAATTTTAGCTGCACCTGGATATACAAATTATAATGAAAATCTCTTTTCTAGTCATTTAAAATATTGCTAAGAAGGCTAGCAATGTTGAATTTGATGTCTCAAAGACTGTATTTTTTTTCTCAGATGGCCACAGAAGAGTACAATGGACATATTACAGCAATCATAATTAACTACATTTATCCTCAAAAATCAATTCCTTTAAAAGAAAAATGAAGTTAGCATTGATGCCAGTTGAGAGGAAAGATCACTGGAAAAAGAGTACATAAATTAAAGTCTTCAAAGGAAATTGCTGTTAAAACTTCAGCATGTCTTTTTGCTTAAGATCTAACGTGCTTGTGTCACCATCCCTAATTTGCAAAGCAGAAAAACAAGACACAAAATAACCAACTTGCAGTCTTCATACAGGGAGTCATTGTAGCATAGTTTTCAGAATCCTGAAGCCCACTCCTTTGCACTAATCATATTTCAGACTCAGAAAAAATAATAATCATAAAAAATCATACATAATACAATACGTTATGATTTTCTAAATTTAAGGTGGAAGAAAAAAGATTTAAAGAATATTTACCAAATTCAGAACAATTTCTAACTTTGTCTTCAGAATCTGAGAAAGCAGTTGAGTCTCTGAATAAATCCAATACTACTTAATTCTGTACATCTGAAAATCCAGCTGGAACATTGACTAGAATGGAAAGGTATTGGCTGAGCTGAAGGATCCTCAGTGGTTATCTCTGTAATGTTTTCCTACCATTTTACAACAGAAGTAACATGCTTGCATACTTCAGTGGGTAACAACCAGAATGTGAATGTAGGTAAAGAGGCAGTTTTGAGACRAATAGGACCTAAAGGTGATGCTCATTTGAACATGAGAATTCATGCCATACGCTCAATGTGAAACTCATCTGGAACATCACAGCTGAGATATCACAATAATTAAAATAAGTAGGTAAATTATTTCTGTATTTGAAATGGACTAGGCTTTAAGAATACTCTTTAGGCATAATTCTTAGCAGAAAATACTGTGATTTTTATCACAAAGTTTATAATTTATAGTACCCATCAAAATAAAACTCAGTCTTTGACAGTGTCACTACTTGCATATCTAGAAGTGTATGAGTTAAGAATATGACCAATTGATGGCATCAGACCTYAATATTTACCATTTCCTACATTTACTTTCTGTAGTAAAATTTCCTCAATTCTTATATATTTACTCACTTTTTCCACTGCTACACTTCCTAAAAACACATATATGGTATTAKTCTCAAAATAATCTCCATGATTAATCTCTCATGACTGACAATAAATAAAAAATTTGSAAAATCAGTTATGCCTAAGGGAGTTGAACAATTAATTTTTCATAATTCATCTCAAATAGACATTTCATATCTGCAGTTTGATTTTACTTGCAGTAAAATTTTACTTTCCTCTCCCCTCCCCGCAAAGCTCACCCTTTTCTTTAAAATGCCATCACTCTGATCTCACTGGCTTTGAATAATAATCTCCTCAAGATTTCCCAGTGATCACAATTTTCTAGATAGTATGTAGGGAAGTCAAATTTTCTCGTATATAGATATAGTGCAAAACATATTAATCCCAGCTTTCCGCCTCTCATTTCTAGCAGTTTTCTAAAATGCTGCTTAATTTACAGATTATCCACAAATTGCCATGGTGTTGCAAAATGTGGAATATGTAACAATTTTCTTTAAAAATTATGTTCTTTGATGTTTAATCTTCATATACTTTCAAGACTGATCAACAAGAAGGCAGATTTAACCCATGAAACAGATAACATGCTCTAAATGGTGTCCAGGTGTTAGAAAAACAAATTACCTGTTCATAGAATCACCTTGTTAAAATTTAGGGCTGGACAAGATTCAATCACCTCAGACCTGTGGGATGTTAACAAAGCTCAGGAAGAAGCCTGTACCACTGATTGTGGATACAAAGAGTGCAGAATTTACAGGCCACAAGGACGTTTGGCAGAATGCCCAAGATAAGGARGAAACTAATAAAGCCAACTCAGAAATTGTTCTGAAATCAGCTCCAGCTGGGGAAAAGGTGATGCTAACAGTGGGGAAATGGYGACCACAGACTCAAGGACCACCAACTCAAGAAATCCACAGACCCAAAAGAAGAGAAAGACTGAGCATGACAATCAAGAGAATCATTATACAATAGTAGAYAGAATACTAATTTATAACAGAAACACGTAACTTTTAGCTAATGAATACTAATTCCTTTGYTTGCTAAAACATATAAATAATGAAAAGTTTTGATAGTAGGGGTGCTTGATTTGTAGAGTATCACCAAGTATATAATCTTGCACAGCTCCAAAATAAATAATTAATGTCTTTCTTGGGGGTGTAATTATTGGCTTGTTGCACACCAGGTAACAAATCTGATTTTTGTCRACAACAATGGCATCTGAGAAGAATAAGATATATCMAAAAMAAAAATAACTGAAAGAAAAAAATATAAGGAACTATAATATTTAAGTCCATGAAAATGTACTCTTACACCTATCTGAAAGGATGCCAGGACGGAGATCTGTAACCTAGGTAWTACAATTTTTTTAATAATTAAGCCWACAAAAATGAACAACTAAAACCACAATTTTTCGAAACAGATTAACTGTAGAAGAACATCTCTTGCAGGTATATAATTGTTTGTTGTATACATATTCTGCAATGTTAATAAAAATKTTATTTCTAGTGGACACTTATTATTTGATTTTTGCAACTGCTAAATTCGTAAGAACAATTTTTTTCATTCATATTGTATCTACTAATTTTATTATTTCATACCAATAAACTGAGGATGTATTTCAAGTTCATCAAAATAGTTGAGAACAGTTGTATCATCGGTGTTTAACTTGTGGAAGTGTTTCAGACTTTTCAGGAACTGGTCCTCAGTATAATGAGTTCCAGTAACAACACTCTCTGGCAGATTCATTATTCTGTTTATAAGGAATTCATCAGATGCAGTCAAAGAAAAAATAAATTCTGTGAAGAAGAACATATTGTTTGAGTATATATAAAATTTYAAAAAGGATTGAGCAAAAACAGCAAAATAAAGCAGTTTCTACATAGATGAAAACCATTCTATTTCAATTCCCATCATAACAGATGCATTACATTTTTATTCCATTAATAGCTGCTGTAATCACAACAAAGACAGCACTACTGTTGTTATCAGCCAACAGTTGATAGCATTTGACAAAACCCCACAAACAAATAAAAAAACAACCAACCCAAAAACTGAACCAAAACCTTACTTATAATTAAGAAAAACTTCCTCAACAAAAGGGTGGTCAAGCATTAGAACATGCTGTGTAGAAAAGTGGTTGAGTCACCATCCCTGGACGTATTTAAGAGATATGGAGATATGGCACTAAGGGACAGGTTTAGTGGTGGATTTGGAAGTGCTGGCTTAATGGTTGGATTTAATGTTCTTAGTAGTCTTTTCCAACCTAAATGATTMTACGATTAATTGTTCACTTTCAAATACAAGGGCAGTAATGTTATATGAATTTTTTTTTAAAGTTAAATTAAATAGGAACAGATGGAATGATATTTTAGACTTCTAGTTGGTGGCAGCAATATTTCAAAATTCATCGTTTATTTAAAAAGAAATCCATCAAACTTACCAGGTATGATTATTTTATTAAATTTAGGCATTTTGCTTTTTGTTTCTCCTTCTGCTTCTTCTCCTTCTTCCTCTTCCACTAAAACAAAAGTAAGAAATTATTGACATTTTCATTTGAAGCAACAATACCCCTATATTTGCTACAAATATGCCCAGTACAAACACAGGTTTGCCTACATCCRAATTATACTAATAGTTGGAAGTTAATCTAACCTTCACATGAGTTTAGATAATTCAGTAATTCATGTTGCCAGCCACCACAGAACTCTACCTTGGGACACCAGTAGCTATTTGCCTGTACTGCGAAAGTATGTACATGCACACACAATTTTTAAATATGTCCAATTTTAAACCTGCTGACTTATCTTTGGTCTCTGCTACTGCCAAATAAATTAGTCTGCAAAAAACAGAGACAAGGCTCGGAAGAGTGAGTAGAAATGTTTTACAACTGTATGGTTAAAATGTCTTTTGCCACTAAGTGTCCGCTGTTATGAATAGTCAATAAAACTGCCTGTAGACTATCAGCTGAGCATGGCCATTGGCAAAACAGCATACTAAGCTTAACAAGACTGGTTTTTCTTTACCTTCAAACCTCATGTTGTAATTTAAACATGAAAATGATTCTTGTTCCTAACATATGAACTGTGGTTGCTCACAAATCGAAATGTGTGCTGCAGAGCTTCTTTGAAGTAATATCTACTATATTTGATCTAATAAATCCACTCTAATTTGGTTCACAAAACATATATGGGTGCATTGGCTGGATACCTTCATTCAGTAGCCCTTAAATATTATGCAGAAGTTCTGCTGTAGAGCTTGCTTAAGTGGAGTAGATCAACACTGAACACAAAAGCATCTCCATGTTTGTGCATTTACTTTTTACTTTACCAGGAAAGATGGTCTGAAAACTATATTTTGCATAAATTAATTAAGATGCATTACAGTCCTTCTCACATTCTAATAATCACATAAAACCAACTTTGTTTTGTATCCTGCACTGCAGTCATTACAGTGCTGATGCACTTCCAAGAAGTACGGCACTGAGAGCAATAATGATAACGACAATATTAGCAAAAAAAAAAAAAAAAAAAAAAAAAAAAAAAAAAAAAAAAAAAGCAGTAACAAAATCAAACCCAGCAGTACATACATACCTTTAAAAAGATCCCTTGCCTGTTCATAGGTCTCTGGGAACCCATCTAAAACATAGCCCTGATTCCTACAAGGCATAGACATGAGCTTATCCTTCATAAGTTTAATAAGAAGCTCATTACCAAGATGACCTAAGACAAAGAAGGTTAATAGGTCCTTAGTTTATAGAAACAAGATATCTGAAATTATTTACTAACATTTTAATACATTCTAATACATTTATATTCTACTTAGACCATAAAAGTTAAATATTTTTGGTTACTATTTCCATATTATACATTGTCAGTGATCTATGAAATAAGAATGTGTAGATATAAAATAAAATTACATTTGTGTTTACTAGGTTATAAATATTAGTGCTTCAATGATCTAAATATGTAATTGGTTTTATTTCAAAGAATATAATCATATTTTAATACAAGCAGTAAATATATATAGAAAAAAATCACAAGCCAAAGAAATAATTTTCTATTTTCTTTTTCTATGGTTAGTCTTGTAAAAAAGATGTGAAATAGGTTCTGCAAGTTTCATTTTCAGACAAACAGGTTGAGATGCAAATTGGTKTATTAACTTGTACTGCATCGTTGAGAAAATATGTAGGAGGAAAAAGTCAGGTTTGACCTGATTTTTTGTCCTTTTGCAAACTGGAAACTGTCTCCAGTTTCCTGCTTTATTTTGCTTTGGCTATTAAAAGTCTGAGATATTTATTAACCATTCTACTCATAAAAGTATGCAACTATTTTAAAAGGCATTATTATTTTAAACAACAAATCAAAGCATGCAGAAGAGATGTTGCCATAGCTCTCATTACTGAAGCTTCCTGGTGTGTGAGAAGTTAATTTCTTTGCAGATACACAAGATCCAAACCAGGTAAACTTTTAAAGRGGGATCACTTCATACCACATGGAAAATGTTAAGCACTAAGTCTAAAACTACATGTCATTATTCATATACAGATGATAATCACTAGTTTTCAGCTGCAGACTTTAAAATTCTTTCCAGGCTTCAGTAAACGGTATTTACTTTCTGATGATGTGAAGTGCTTAAATAACCCCCACAAATTATATGAGAGTGCACTGATTATTTTTCTTACTAGAATACCTTTATGTTTGCATGCTTGATAAAGATATATTTCACCAGCTTTTTACTTTATATAATATAAATTATATTATATAAATTATATAAATTATATAAATTATGCTCTCTACTCTGAGAAGAAAATATGATATTATTAAAGAATCTGAAGAAGTAGAAAGTACTACAATTAAAGAAGCACCAAAATATTTTAAAAATATATCACTTTGAATATACAATGGGTATAATTGCATTGGGTTTGCGTGGACAGGTTTTGTTAGCTTGGGGACCTAGAGAAGAGGCTTCTCTGAGAAGCTGGTGGAAGCTTCCCCCATACCCAACATGCTGATGGCTCCAAGATGGATCTGCTGCTGACCAAATTCAAGCCCATCAGTGATGGTAGTAACACCAATATTTAAGTAAGGGAAAAGTCATTGTGCAGAAATAAAGATGGCCAGAGAAGACAGAAGTGAGAATCTGGAAGAAAAACATTGCTGAAGAGACCCTTCTCTGCAGGTCAGAGAAGGAGCAGGGGAAGGAGGTGCTTTAGGTGCCAAAGCAAAGATCCACCTGCAGCCCATGGTGCAGAGCATGGTGAGCASGCTGTCACTGTGCAGCCCTTTGAGCTCCATGGGAAAGCTGAGATCCRCCTACAGCCCATGGAGAGGGCACACACGGGCCTAGATGGATGCCCAAAGAAGGTTGTGACCCCATGGGATGCCCGTGCTGGGGCAGGCTCYGGGCAGGACCTGCAGACCCATGAAGAGAGGATTCCATGCTATGGCAGGTTTGCTGGCGGGACTTGTGATCCCATGGGGGACCTATGCAGGAGCAGCCTGTTCCTGAAGGACTGACTGCACCCTGTGGAAGGAACCCATGCTGGAGCAGCTCATGGAAGACTGTGGTCCATGGGAAGGACTCACACTGGAGAAGTTTGTGGGAAACTGTTTCTTGGGTGAGGGGTCCCAGGCTGGAGCAGGAGAAAGACTCTCTGTGAGGAGGAAGAAGCAGCAGAAACAACATATGATGAACTGACCCTAACCCCTATTGCCTGTCCCCCTGTGCTGCTGGTGGGCAGAGGTAGAGAATCATGAATAAAGTTAAATTCAGGAGAGAAGGGAGGGGTGGGTGCTCTGATTTTGATTGGGAATACATTTAAGTAATTTCCCCAAGTCAGGTCTGTTTTGCCCGTRACATACTCAGTTTGTGTTCTCTCCCTGTCCTTACCTCAACTCATGAGCCTTTCATGATATTTCCTCTCCCTTGTTCAGTTGAGTCTTGCTTTTAAAAGGAAGTTAAAGTTCTAGAGCACAAATTTATTTCCTGATTTCCATTTGCATAGGATTTCACTAGTTACACGAATCCTATCATAGTACTTTGTATTTCCTACCTGCATTCTGCTTCATGTTTTCTTTGATTTCATCTAATAACTCCCTTGCTGCTTCTACATTTTCACCCTGCTCCTCTACATCATCTTCTCCTTCTACTTCTTCTCCTCCCTCAGTGTCAGGTTCTTTAGCCACAATTTCCTCCTGATGAGAAGAACAGAAATATGGAAAATCAGAAAATCCACAGCCAAATTTATTTTATACATAGATATAATCAAAGAAAAAAAAAAGTAATTCTCTTAATGTATGCCTGTGAGATATCGAGCAACTTCTGTTCTCTAGAAAGATTTCAGTACAATCCCCAGAGACAATCCCCAGTATTTAYTCTAAAATAATGGGATTATAAGTAATATTTAAATGCTGCCAAACATTTTAAAATCACAGAAATTAAAATAGCAGAAATGTTAGAGAACAGGAACACACCAGTTTCGCAATTCTTTCAGAAATCACATCCTTTATCCCTACGTAATGTAGCTTGTAGTGTTTGCAGAGCTCCTTAGAAATGGTAGATTTGCCAGACCCAGGAGGACCATGAATGTAAATTTTGAGAGGCTGGAAAAAAGGATAAAGGTATAACATTATTGAAACAGCACACAGATGCTCTTGTGTGAAAGCAATAATATTTTTAGTATAACCAATAGAAAATAGCAATTGTAACTAAAACTGAAAATATATTTTTGTTTTATTCATTTATTTCTTGCTGAATAACTTCTATATCAGCCACAGGTCTCAAGTAACATAGTTAGTTAAATATAGAAATTTACTGTTGGAATAAAAGCATGCTTCTATTTAGTAGTCTTACCGACCAATTTGTTGTGGAATTACCCAAAGAGTTTAAAAACAATCCCACAGATAGGATGTAGTGAATTTTGGAATGTAGTAGCAGTCCACTGTAAACATGCAGTAGTTTTATTTTCCAGTTGAGGTAGAGTTGCTGTCATCACAATGATTATTTTGACCTCAAAACTTTCAGATCCATCATAATCTTAAATAATGTCTCATTTCAGCCTACCTAGCCTGAGGATGAGTAAGTGCAATTAGGATTCCAGTAYACACTTATTAACTATGTGATGCAATAAACTCAAAATCATACATAATTAAGTGCCTATCTTAATTCTGTAAATCTGACAGTATAAACTCTGCAATAGAGTAGTGACAGAGACAATCTAGCTAACCTCCCTTTTACTTGCTACCTGGTATGTACTATTTTCTTCAAATAAATGCATGTGTACTCAGATGAAATAGTTTAACCCAAACACATATCAGATTATCCTTTCAGAGCAAGGAAAGGACTTTCAATGAATAACCTTGAACAACAGTAGCTTCATTTTGTTTTATGTGCCCTGAACTCTTATTGAAGTTTTGAACCAGATTTAGACACACTAAACAGCTTTATTGAACAAATCAATACTTGCATGTATACAAGCATTTTTCTGCACCTTTCAGTAACCCATATATTTGCATACAGACRTTCTAAATATCAAGCTAACATAGGAAATAGCAAAGTTGCCCGGTAAATTTCACAACCGAGCAGGTTAAAATGAAGGCAACATTGCAATTGTATATCCTAACTCACTAAGTATATGGACACAAAATACTCACTATTGACTATTATAAAAAAAAGCTTAAATAAAAGATACACTTATTGTATTCCTGAGGCAAAATAGATGAAGAAACTAGCTGAAATTAACTTCAAATCAGCAGCTTTTCCATCATGAAACAAATTTGCATTTACAGAATTTCAGTTTTGGGCATAAAGGAAATAAATTTTTCAGTTTATATTGCCTCATATTTAACTTCTTCAATTTAACTTTTTATGTGCATTTATTTTGCATCTATACCTATCGTCTATGTGTTTTTACTTAATTATTTGAAGGCTTGTGTTTATGTAACCATTTCTATTGGGCAAAAAGAGAGTACTTTGAAATAGTATAAACCAAAGCTTTACCAGTAACCCTCGAGTTTGCTTGTATTCCATGACGACTTGTTCAATGTTCTCTACCAGTCCTGCCTCAGCAACCCACTTGATCTTGAAACTGTCTTTCACATACGTATGCTCCATTCGTAGGTTCACAAGCAACATATCCAATTGCATTTGCTGAGGGAACAAAGCTGCWTTTATTTACAGACTTAAGCTATGCATGTTAAAAGAATAGCTGGAACAAGAGACTAGAATGGATGAGGAGAATAKAAAGAATTAAAGTGCTGGGAGAGAAGGTTTGCATACAAAGCAAACCAGTCATTTTAAACTTTTTAAAAATGCTAATTTTCAATGCATATTTGTATCTGAATGTTCTCATGATCTATTAGAACATGCAACATTAAACAACTATTGTTTAGTGCATACAAATATGTGCAATGCAAACTTTTCATGTAATTGCAAGGAATTATCTCATAAATTTATCAAGTACCATCTTAAAATTACTTGGGTTTTATTTTGTTTATTTCACCTATGAACAGTTTATTCCAGATAAATAGATGAATACAACATAAATTATGTATGCTGTGTTCATGAGCCTTAGCAGCAATGTATTAATTTTTTTTTATTATTTTTATCATTTTGTGTAGGTTTTCTTAGAGAACTCCAGTATGCTAAGGGAAACAGCAACATCAGAGTTTCAGTATTTCATTTCTTTAAATCAAGCTGTAACTGTTCAAAACTCCCTGTTTTATGATGGCTAGATTTTACTTCGTTTATTATCCAAATCTGAAATAGCTTTACATGTTTTAGATTTTGAGGTTACATTTTTCTGGTGAAATAAAGAAAAAAGTAATTATATATTTCATTATATTATACTTTTAAGTTTAAATACTTTYCTGAAGTCATAAAAGAAAGAAAGGTACTGACTGTTAGCTCTTTGTTCAGCAATACATTTTCAGTAGAAATCTTCTCAGTTTTTCCTGGTCCAACATTTTTACTGATACACTATCAGAAAAACAAACAATCAAACAAATAAAAAAAAAAAACACACCAAAACCACTTAACAAATCAGATTCTTAGAAAAAAAATTGAACAGGATTTCTGTGGATAAAATGTGTGCTTTAAATTTTATGTTACACTCTACCTGAAAAATCAGGATACTGATTTTAAATAGATCCAAGAGAAATATATTAACTTTAATGTTAGTATAAAATACCTTCTAGTTGCTAAGTAACACTTCCTCCTTAGTATCAGCAATAAAAAAAATTTAAAATAAACAAAGAAACAACCCAAAATCACAGAAAATATTTATAAAGCTCTTAAACATATGAACAATTCCTAGTGCTTAAGATCTATTTGGAGACCTTTATTATTTCACTTCAGGTTCCTGAGCTATTTAATTCCATTAACAATAGGGAAGGGTTTTCAGATAATGCCACTGATAACTCTCCATATATTATTTGCATTTCATCATTAGACACAAATTGTTAGTTATACATACAGCCCTTTAAAATAGATTTAAAACCCACTACATAAAATCATAAACCTTTATATAGACCATCAGATCAAATAATGCAGCATTCTGTCTCCAATGATGTTAGTTAGCAGACACTCAAATGAAAGGAAGCATGGAAAAGGCATTTATGATACKCCTTCCAAACACTCTTCTGATCTTCAACTATTTTCAACTGTAATTCTTGAGGTGTTCCTCTCCCATGCAKGTTTCCAGTTTCCCCCTGGGCTGGTACAGCTCCCTGCCAAGATAACTCTCTGCATCACCCTCTCCACTGGCAACTTCTGGTCCACAAAAACTGTCCACTTATTCCTGTCCTTTCTAAAAAGCCACAAATCAATGAAAGGAAGTCCTTTCACCTATCTCTCTCCTTAGGGTGCCTAGCTGCTTCTCAGCAGCTATAGGTGAAGTACTTCTTTGAAAGCCTTTGGGAAAATCAGGTAAGATTATATCATCTTGTTCATCCTTACCCACATTGGCTCGTCATGTTAAAAAACCTCAGATTTCCAAAATATTTGAGACTATTTTTGGGAAAGAATTTATTGTGAAAGCATTTTACAAAAGTCACATTGACTCTTCCCAAATAAAATCATATCTATCTGGTTGTCCTCTAATGCCTTTAATTTGTTATAATTTCTTACAATGTACCTGGTTATTAGCTGATATTATTAGGTATATYGGCTTGTAATTCCCAAAAATATTTCAGGAATCTCATTGGCATCACATTTATCATCCTCGTGTCTTCRTCAGGACAGTGCTAAACAGGAGGTAGTATGTGTGAATTTGCATTTCAGAGTTATTTYATCTTTGAGCTATTTTAGACCTCTTCAGTGAATAACATAAGATTCTGGTGACTTCCTAGTGTTCATTTAGTCAGTTCATTTTATAAGTTTTTTACAGTTACTTTAGCTTTACACAGATCTAACAAGTTATTCACAAAGAGATCCTGAAGATCAAGTAATRTATTTTGTTCAAAGGACAGAAGTCTTAGAGGATTTCAAAATAATCTTCCATGCAATGTACAACACAAGATAATTCAGGAAGACCTAGGAACTTCTACTTCAGTAAAAAAAACAGGTTTTAAAAAATTAAAAAAAAAAAAAAAAAAAAAAAAAAAAAAAAAAACAAAAAAACAAAAAACCTCAAATCTCCTATCACCTCTCTTACCTTTACTAATTCTTCAAGGGTGTGCATTGATGCATCTACTCCAAGTACATACTGAAAGTCTGGCCTCCTGTCTGCTACATTTTGCAACACTCTGAAATATAGCAAGTGCAAGCTGAGCTGGTACTTGGAGAAGCATCCAGAGTTTTCCTTGGTTATAGTACCAAGGATCTGCAAATTCTCACAGAACATTTCAGAGCATTACATTTTCATAYATATTTTAATTAATAAAGAAGCACAGCTACATATTTTATTTGGAAAGAAATTAATAAAAAGCTGTGTCTGTAGAAGATAATATCGTAGTTAGCTGAACAGTCCACAATCCATTGCCAGTTCTATCACAATCTAGACTGAACATGGCTTGTCATTTGTTAAAAACAAAGCCCCAGTGCAATGGTCAGATAAGGCTTCCAGAAGGCACATCTACTTCTAAAGAAACTGAAGGCTCTGTTTGACTCAGTTAAAAGGGCCCAAGACAGACCTTAAACCAACCCACGTAATTTCAAAGCCTCAGTGCTCTCTAGTGGATTTGATGTTATCTACTTAGGTATCAATTGTTGCTCAGAGGAATTTTTTTTTTTTTTCACTTACGCTGCTAAGTCACGAACATGAATGGTTGGAACAATATTATTTCCATCCTCAAAAACAGGTATTACAGGAGTCTCACTAAGCCAACACATCTGAAAATACAGAGAATAAAGTGAGAAAAAGGGGYTACTTTTAATTAGAGCTAAAAAGGGAGCTTTTGATTACTAGGCAAATCTGTATATTCAAGATTTAAAGGTCAGTTTATTGAATGATTAATGGAACTGCAGTAAAGAGACAATTCCTGAGAAATACTGATTGTCAGCCKGCTGAAAACAAGAAATTTTTTGTGTTTTTTTTTTAAACTTCGTATCACCCCAAAACCAAAAACTTGGTGGGGAGGGGTGGGGAAAAGACTATAAGAAAGAGACTATGAAGAAAGACATTTCCCTGGATTCCATTTATATGAGAGGCATGTCCTCACTGGAAAATACATACAAAGATACTGTTCAAAAAGCCATAGAAATATTGAAGAAAAAAATAGAGCCAATAAAAGAGAAAAGCCATCTTCCACTGTTGTTAAAATATTTCAGAAGGATCAAATAATCAGTTCTGCTCATGAAAGCATTGAGCTTATGATACCAAGGCTGCTAAAAATCGGTTCAATTCCAGTACAGTTTGCCCCTAGAAATTAAATGATCTTTCAAATGTAGTTGGATGTCTACCTTAAAAAAGTAGTGAAAGAGTCCTTCTTCAGCTCCATATTGATGTCCTGCAGCAACAACATATGTTGAAAACTTATCTTTGTTCTGTGAAATCAGCAAGAAAGTTTTTATTAAAACCTGGTATTGCAATTGGGATACAAGCTTACACTGACTCTTGCACACATGCACACTAAATATACAAAGTGTGTAAACTGTCGCACTTCAAGTTGTAACTAGATCAATTGTTGCATATCCTGTATTTTCCTGAGTCATATTGCTATTACTTCCTTAAAAAAAAAAACTGTCTACAGCGGTCTTCAAAAAAGAAATCTGTCTACATCTGAATGAAAATTATAAAATTAAAGAGTTATAAAAAATTAGACATTATGTAAATAAATTAAGTGAACAGGGTAACTCATGCTTCTACTTTCTATTTTCAAGAAAAAGTAACTCTGAAATTCATTTCAGCTATTTTTTCAATTGCATGATATTTGCATTTGGCTGCCTAAAGGATCAGGAAATACTAGATTAATGATTTTACAATTTCTTTACTTTCATTTTGATGCACAAAAAAAAAACAAATAAAAAATAAAAAACCAAACCAAACTTTGAACTATTTGAATGTTTTCCTAACCACACATCATGATTAACCCAAATGCTTTTGGCTATATTTATAATGTAATGTCATAAATTTGCCTGTCTGCTTGGACATATATGTTACTGTTTGAATCAATGGTGAGGATGGTTATACAGAGAGAAAAAACGATGTTTAAATCATCTGAAAGGAAAAAAAAACTTCCAAGAAAGACTTTTGAATCAGTCATTTTGAAATTTTTAAGATGAAACAAAATTACTAAATAATTCTCAGGTTGTAAAGATCTTAGGCATTACATATCTCCCTTATACCACCTGTCTTTATCAGCAGTGGGAACACGTGCAGATTTAGGATCCACTTCTTTTTTCCTGGGGGAATGGGGGGAAATGGACTTTTTGTTATCTTGTTTATAATATTTCAGAAACAGAAAGATAAGGCAAGTCTTAGCCAATCTTTGATTGTATAAGCAAAGCATCATGTAAAATGATGGCAAGTTGCAAAGTCAGTGTGTTGTATCTATGTGTTTTTATCTATATACTCACAAAGTGATACTTTGTAATAAAAACTACTTCAACTCACTGGAATTCAACAGCTGGTAATTAATCACAAGAAACACTAAAAGTAGAAGGCATTATGGATAGCAAAAGAGCTTCCACRCTGCAAGGAGCACTGCCTGTCTCAAACACTAAGACCACAGAAGGACTGTGCCATGAGATAAATACAGAAGGGAGCTACAGGATAACACTAACTCCCAGCCTGGCAGGGTCGAGATCTTGTTAGTATATCCTGGTTAACACATCTGAACAAAAATTTCCACTGTGGCAAACAGTATAAAGAAATACTGCTGGTATGCATGTCACTGGTCAAACAAAGATCACCCCAAGTTATGGGTCAGATGGCATCAGCAACCACCAACAACCGCTGAAGCCTCCCTGMATATACCTCCATGGATACCTGGAACTTGTACTGTAAGATAAGCCGCCACAACTGCCAGCTTGAGATAAGAAAAGATAAAGGTAGTACTATTGTCTCAATGTTATTCCAGGGGCACATTAGCAAAGCCTGGGGAGAAGAATGTTTTGCTGATAATGATCACAAAGAATGCAAAATTTACAGGCCACAGGGAAAGCCAKCTCAGCAAGTCTAGCAAAATCAGCTCAACTGGGTAAAAGGTAATTCTGGCAGGGGGAGATTGTGACCACCAATCCACTGCCCATGAACCCAAGAAACCCATCAACTATAAAGAAGAGAAAGACYGATCATGGGACTAACTAGCATTAGAAGTGAGGGAATAATTTAACAAATAGATTAAAAGAACTCTGTAGCCAATGAACACTAACTCTCTTATTTGCTAAAATGCATAAATACTGGAAAGTTTTGCATGACCTCGGTATCCCTATCATCTGAGAAGACCAGTATGAAGAAGGACCAACTGGATTCATGGGTGGTGACTATMTTCTGCTTGATCTCTCTCTCCTCTGTTTTCTATCTCTCTACTTTGTATTTATTGTTAAATAAAATATGTACACTGACTTCAGCATATGGTCTTGTTTGCAACTTAATTTGGGCAGAGGTATCTCTCACTACTCTGATCTTAACACACAGTGAGTGTGCTTGGGTAATACCATGACAGATACTGTTTGTAGCCTAAGAGCAGAAGCTCCCAGTGTTGCTCTGGACAGACTGCAAACACGTCCTAGAAGATATGTAGTAATTTCCGACTCCTAGCAGGAAAAACCTGCCTGTTGCGAATGCACARGGGGTGCTATTTCTCATTCCCTTAAAAAGAATGTAACACAGGCCTTTCTTCCATGTACCTTGTGCTAACTCCTGCCACGTGTGGAGACAAACCATAGTTTGGTACCTAGTGCTGTACTTCACTGAAATACAAATCTCTAAAACAGGTTTAATTCCTCTAACAATACTTAATTAGCGTCACAAGCCATCCCTATGAGAAGGTACTACTTGAAGTTACTYGGATATAGGTAATTTAAAAAAAAATAAGGCAATTCTTAGGCAAATTGCTGTTCCGCAGGGCATGTTTAGTCTCGAGTAMAGAATGTCACGTGTAATCTTCATTAGAGCCACTAGGTGTCACTTTCTAGCTGGGATCATCAATTCCAGACTGCGGTTGTTTTACGGTTGSTTGCTTTGTTTTGATAAATTGCTTGAAGTGAGTAACAGGTCTAAATGGATTCGGGAACTGTGATGTCACTGAGAACAGAGCTGAGAGATGAGAAGCTTTTCGGCCTGTGGYAGGCAGATATTTCTCCAAGGATTCTGAATTTGGCAGGACTCCAGAGATTGCAACTTGTGAGAAAAGGCACCCAGCCTGAGCACCCTAAATGTCACAAAGGTAAAGGTAAAAAATTGCTAGTGATAAAAGGCAAAGACTCTTAAACACATTAAAATTACTGAATTTTAATCAAGGAATAGGTGAGAGATGATACACTAATGCAGAGGTGAAACCTTGCTGTGAGAAACAGCTTCCATTAAACTTCACTCTCAACAGACAACAAGGTTAAGAAGTTCTTCTATTCCTGGTGCAAGGAATKTCCTAACTGGCTGACAAGACTGATGAATCCTAGTGTCTAAGCTCTTGGCAGGGAGTAATAACACTGTCATTTCTTTCACTGATGGCACATTCCCTAGATAAAATTGAATTTAGAAATGGGTAGGGACTGTAATCCCAAAGTGTCCAGCCTCACAAGAAGCCAAAGCTGACTTCATGGGAAGAACAGATGCTTTGGAGCCCTCCTGTTGCAAAGTGCTGACAGAAGCTACCCAGGAGCAGTGATAACCATTGGTGCTGACATCGGAGTTCTAGAGGAAAAGGGCTCCTTTTGAAAGTGTTACAGCAGGTGGGTATTGAAAATATTCACGTTGCTTTATCATGACAGATATACATATCTGTCTTTTCAACAGATGTCCACCCTGACAAATCTTAGACACTAATTATATTAATACTTTTGGTATGCAGTGACTCTGCTTTGGACTAGTCAGAAAAATAGTCAATAGCTCATCTGGGTATTAAGAGCTTAAGAAGTTAATGCAAGGTTTGATGGATGCTGTCCACAATATTCATGTTTTTAATATCACAGGTGTGAAACATCCCATGGTCTTATAACGGCATGTTAGCACAGTAAAAGAAAAAAAAAAATTACCACTGTTTTTTCAAGCTGTAAACCAAATTTTTACTTGTAGTCTGTACTACCAGGCCCATGGTAGAASAGAATATGATTTCTAGTGCTATTTTCTCAGCAGGGCATAAGATAGCAAATGCATACTCAAATCAGAGAAATTTTTTTCACCCTCTGTTATTAGCCTGATAGTTTTTTGTAATGGATATTAAATTATATTGATGGTAGGAGGCTGTCAACACAGAAAAAGAATGACCAAATGACACCATCATCCAATGTATTTYGATGTCTTCTTAATCACCACATTACTCCACCACTAATGACAACAGCTTCCATTTTTTCTGAATTGTAAGCTGAGTCACTGTTGGTATTTATTTAATAACAGGCCTTAAATACAAATAGAAGCATAGTCTGTTCTATAGTAAGATTAATAGTCTAATCATATCAAAGCAAGCAAAGCTGCAGGAGGGGATTTTAAAACACCTATAAAGATATAACATGTTTTAGTTATTCTGTGCCACCTCTGTGGCCATAAGTGAATTATAGAGCGGAATAAAAGTCAACAAGGCCTCTGTTCCAAGAGCACAAACTATCCACGGACATGCTAGGTGTGGCCAGAACATCTAAGTATTTTAATGAGACATAATATAAACATAGCTTGTTATTATTTAAAGATGCTGCTTTTCTTTAGAACTGTACTAATATCTCAGTCCTCTACAAACCTTCTTCCTCAAATCCTTAAATCTTTCCACGTACAGACCCCAGCTTTGAATMTCTCTGGCACAACAAAAAAAAAGCAGTATTCTTTTAAGATAAGCCTGATTTACTCCCTACATCAGGAAAAAACCACAGAATTTGGGATTTATGTTACGCATACACTTGGTTTTCAAAAGACATTATAGTATTCTCTATACTACTGTGTTTTATTAATAATTTATATGATCCATATTAATAAAGACAATAACATATTCTTAAAACTTATTCAAATTGTTGWTAATTTCCATTACTAAGAGAAAACTTTGAATAAGAAGGCAAAACAACTTATTTTTATAAAAAAGTTCTATACATACAGTTTTCCCAAGTTTCACAATGAGTTTTTCAGCAGTTATGTAGTCCATAAAGCTAGGATGAGATTTTCTTTTCCGATAATCTTCATCATTAAAAGGAATCTCAGGATTGTCCTTTGAAGAAAGAAATGTGACTATTATATATTTCTTGAAACAGAAAAAAAATTTGAAGGTCTAGATGTTTAAAGAAGTTCTTTAGAAGTATTTTTAAATCTGTTTTAAATTTCTCTAATTTAAAATTCTTAAAGGTTCTGAATTTGATACTTGAGGTTCAACATTTTGAAAATGTCATTAGTTCAATTTCAAATTTCACAGTAAAAGATTTTTAACTACTTTTTATATTTTAAAAAGCATTTTTTTATTATATATAGCATTACGCAAGGTTGAAAACCTCCATTTCTGTAACACTGAATTCAAGAATTGCAATAGAAYACTACAAAGTGTCCAACAAGGTTCCTGAAAATTTTGCATATATCAAAATAAAGATGTATCTATTTTAATTACGTATGTCATTAAATATACAGTAAACATGGGATTTTTTTAATTAATGAAAGTGCACATTGTGGTTAGCATTTGTCTTGCTTCTTGACCAAGCAACTCCTTATGTTTTTCTTTATCATTATAGCCCAATGCCTAAACTTTTCTGTCAATGAATTACATATAGTGATTTTGGCAGTAAGGGTGAAAGAATCCTAAAATTCCCCTCACTTTATTAGCTATCATTGAAGTACMCACCTGAAATATATTGTGCAATTGAATGCAATGAATATTTTCCATTAAAGGGCAACATYTGGTTTTAAAAAAGAAAAAAATTTTATATTACTTACAGGCTCAATAGGTTTRGTATTACCCCAGGTCATTATTGTTGAAAGGAGGATGAATACCTTTTGTTTTGTAAAAGTATTTATTTCCTTATGTAGGGCTGTTAAATGAAAACAAGGATTTTATTTTAAAAAGTATTATTTAAATTCTATCTTTTCTTCTATATAARGGTCCTGTATAGACATTCATATCAATCTTCTATGTGATATGCCTTTTTAAGAGCAATTTTATATTGCTCTCTGAATTAATATAAAATAAAGATAATAAATCAGGAAAGACAACAAATAGAGAAATAATGGTAATAAAGAATCAAATTATTGGGAATTTACATAATCTTGACAGAACTACACATCTTGGGGAAAAATCCCCCAAAAACCAATCTATACTATGGAAGTATTCATCTTTATTGACTGTTGAAATACTGAAAGAAAATAAAAAACGTGTGGGTTTTTCATGATAGCAGAAAAAAAATCTACTGAATGCAAACATAGTTTATTTTAATATCAAACAAAATAATTAATTTTTTGCTATGCAAATTGTTCTGTTCTCCAAGTGTTCATACTATAAAGAGGAAAGCCTAATTCAGTTTAGCTACCATATAAAGAATGATATTGCACTCTCACCATAAAACGATTCCTGCTGCCTATTAGAATTTGGATGTAAAAATCAGGAGAAAGTTTCCAAAAGACAGCTAGTAGTATATTTTTTATTAGACTTCTATGTAAAAATAAACTTAGATAAAATACTTACATTAAATACTAAAACATTCTTTGAATATCACAGGAGCAAATCTTCTACCCATCTCCCAACACAAATAGTTGAGACAATGGTTGACAGTTATTTAGGGAAATTACTGCCTACACAGGTGTGTCATTTAAAGAGTTGGACCATTCCAGGACAGCTTCTCTCCTTCTGAATGTGACAGTGCATCCCATGGTTCCTTGCTATAAATAAAAAAATTTGTGCAGCATCTCTCCAGCAAGGGACCCAATTTTATATTACAGTTAACTATAAATCCCTGATAACTTCATTAGGCATTCATGGCAAATTTTGATAGCTGCACAGAAACTAAATTTCTGTTCAGGTATAGCTATACTAACCAGAAGCAGCCCACGTTGCTTCCTCAACTTGATTTACATCCTCAGTGATATTATATACAACAATTTCACACTCAAGCAAGTGACTTAAGAGCGCTTCTCGAGAAGAGACCTGAGGGAAAAATAGAATCTGTCATTAGGGAAAAAAAAATCCTTCTCAAGTTTAACTTCTGGATATAATGTGGTTTTTTAACACTAGGATGTTGGATTTATTCAAAAGACAGTTACCAAATATTTATCAGTCAGATACAAGAAAGCTGATAAAATTTAAATGAAATGCTGAAAAATTTAGAGCACGCATTAACATAAATTTTAAAAAGGGACTTTTAATAGYATTTTAGGATCCATATTTTTAGCACATTTGTGAGTATCAAAAATATCCATTACTTGTACAGATGTTTTAAACAAATATCAGTTAGMAAAATGGAGAAGACATTCAAAAAAGTCAATTTCCTTGCAAGATGGCATCCTGTAATTTTTATTAAGAGCAGATTGTCCRTATCACTTGAGCAAATCCAGCAAATGCTTAGGGCAAAAGCTGTGGTTAAAACTAAACACTGCTAGACATAATTTCCTGATTGAACAGTTCAGCTTACAGACATCTGAATCAAAATTTTGAAACGTTTGAAGAGATTCTTGAATAAGAAGAATAATGATTTTTTTTATAATAAGCAATTTGAGACAGAGGCACTTATAGTTCCAGGAAACTAAATCAAGCAATAAGCAATCACATTCATAAGAGTAAGCCTTCTTAAGTTAACTAAACTCTGGACATACACATCTATATACAAAGATGTAGGTATTCGGAACAATTTGGAACAATTAGTGAAAGATGTGATTTCACTTAAGGGACACACTGATGCCAGCACCACTACCTTCAAAATGGTGATAAAAGACAAAAAGAAGATGAGAGATACTTGCAGTGTGAGCTTTGCGAGAAAAAGAAAGCAGACCGGTGGATCATCAAGGTGGAGTTTAAAAAAAAAAAAAGTTATGAAGAGGACATATACTATTTTCTGAGTTCCTTCCTTTTACTATTTGCTTTGTCATACGTAGAAGACGCTGGAGTGCATGCCAGAAGCAGAAGGAATAAAACAGGTATATACAGCTTCCAGCGGGAACAAAAGACCGTTTCACTAGTGTAGGTCATTTTCTATGACTTGCGGTATTTCTAATGCTGTCTAATGGCAATCTGAAATAAGACTCATACTTACTGTATATATTTCCTTTGCGAAAGGTGGATTAGGACTCCCTGGTTTAGAAAGGGTACCCACTATTTTGTACATATCCTCCTCTGAGGTAGTGGGAACTTCAACATCTGAATCGTTTTCTTCTTCCTCCTCTTCTTCTTCCTCATCTGGGCTTCCAAGCGACGCCCCAACAATACAGGTGGATAAATACTGCAATATACAAGACACGCRATTTGTAAATATATATTGAGCTCTATACAGCTTCTCGTGATCTCGAGAAGACACCAGTACCGTCTAACCAGCCCTGCTCCTGTTGTCGGTAATGCGCTTGAGAAACAGCTTCCCATAGAAGGAAAAACTTTAGGGACTGCTCAGACTCAGCTGGATTGTTTTGTCTTTMCTTCTGTCCTACTCCTCAAAGCCGAAGGTGCTGGCGAGTCCCTGAATGCCTCGGCTCCGCACCTGGCTCCTCTCGGGCCGGGGTTACCTCACAGGAATGAATGCTGGTTATCGCCCTCCACAGCAATCAGCTGCTGCCTGAACTCTCCCGACCGGCTTTATCCACACCTGCTCCTAACTCTTTATTTTTACTCCTCATTATCTTAATCCTTTTTTTGCTCCGGTCCCTCTCCTCAGCAGCTATTTCAGCTGACTCAGCTGCCCGCCCGGCCGAGCTCCCCGGGGACCAGCCGCGGCTCCCCGGAGGGCGGAGATGCCTGAGCCAGAGAGAAGCCGCTGCCGGGAGCAGCTGCGGGCCGCCCCGCGGTCACCTCGCCGATATTGCGGCCGCAGTAGGAGTCGAGGTGGTTGAGGAAGAGGCGGTGTCCCGGCGGCGCCGCGGTGTCCGCCATGGCCGTAGCCCGGGACGCGGCCTGTTGCCGCGCGACCGGCGAGCGCACTTCCCCCGGGGGCCGCTGGGGGCGCACAGCYCGCAGCGCCCCCGGCACGCGCGATCGCGCGCTGTGCGCAGCCGCCGTGGGCGCCCGGCCCGGCCCGGGACGCGCGGGGTGGCGGCAGCGTCTCCATCAGCGACTTTGCTCCGAGCGGCGCAAGAGTTGCGTGGTACTGCCGAGACCAAAATAGTTCAATTGGGTTATCAGCCGTTCTTCCCCACAGCAGGCAGGCTCTGAGGCTGTTTAGACCATTCACAGATTAACAGCTACCTCAGCAGCATCTACTCAGGTCTCCGGACAATGGGAGCAACTGGCAGCTGAAGGACTCCTGAAATTCACCCTCGTCAGTGTTGCAGAGACGCTCCCTCCTTCCACAGGGGCAGCAGTGCCCAAGTACAGGGATGGGAGAGCATTTTGGTCATCCTCAGTTACCCAGAAGTGGTGGAATGACATTGCTGTTTCACTTTTGGGTTAACAGTGTAATAAGAAATAGCACCGGTTTCTTCTGCAAACTCCTACAAAATATTGTTTCGAAAGCRTGCTTATAATAAACACACAAAATGACAAAGCAGTCCAAAAAACCCCCCCAAAATTCAGCAATGAAACATTACTTTGGCATTTTTCCACTTGGATTTCTAACATTCCAAGTCCTTTACAATCATGGACCCTGTTTTTTCATAACAAAGTTTCAGCAGATACTAGTTTGCAGTTTCCAAATACTTGACAGCTATTTTTTTTCTAAGGGCATGATGACTTGTTCTCTCCTCACTTTGCAGTAGCTCTACCCTCCCCACAAGAAAACTACATTGCACCAGTATATTTATTTAATTCTTTAGTCATTGAAATTGAACAAGTAAATCAGCTGCAAGGAAAAATATTCAAATATKAATTTGCTAAAGTACATTTTCCTCATAGAGGACTAACCACATGCCACAGACCTGTGTGCAAAAGAGAGCCCATGAACAATTTTTGGAGCATGGAAGCATACTCTAGGGCAGAGGACTAGTTTCAGAAGTTTCAACCCAAAAAATAATGATGAAATGAAGCTCTCAAAAACAGAAGCACCAATTACAGTTGTTTTGTCATAGTTGCACATTGCTAAGCCAAAGCCATTACAAAAGCTCTGCCAGACTTCTCTGATCAATATGACTAACCCATAGCAGGYAGAAGTCAACATAGGTCCACTGAAGTCACTGGAATCTGTGAGAACCAATATATCCCTAAATGTGGCTCCAAAAAAGCTACTGCATGTACTTGTCACAAAAGCATAGAAGAATAATGGCAGGATTGTTTGAATAAAGACACACAAATACAGAATAATAGAATACAAAAAGTATGAATGTCACAGAGCTTCAGTTCAACTGTACAAGCACTTCTACCCAACTGTAATTTTTAAAAAGTCTACCATTCAGTACATACTTGAAAAGTTGTATTATAGCAGAACAATAGAATTATAAAGAGAGTTGTACCAGTTTTTAAGTAGAAAATACAAGTTATAATCTTCCAGTTTATATTAGTCTTAGCAAATTTCATACAGCCTTTGGTTTCAAACCAATACAATGCAATTAACATTACAGTGCTTACTTTAGTATTCCTCAGGAGAGGACACTGTACAATTGAGGGAGAAAATGTGAAAACTGGGAGTACCAAAGTACTGTATTATAGAAAGTAAAGGCTGAAGCAAAAATACTCTTGAGTATATCCTGTACATCATGTAAACACACATTCGAAATAGAAAACAGGCCTTCCAAGCCTCTCAAACAGTTGCAATATAGCATACATATATATAGCATATGTAACATYGTTTTTAGGAAACGTGTAGCCCATTAATTCTGTGCTTAATCATTTATGGTTCAGACAATACATTCATATATAAGCAGTTCATTTTGTGGATTATTTGGAGCTTGCTGGTTGCTACAGACAAGGACAGATGAATTAATGCTGAGCCTTGGTCAGATCCTACTACTATATAAGCAATGCTCAACTGTTGAAKAACCATCTTTCTTGCTACAAAGCKGAGAACTTTCAGATTTATGTATAGCAAATCAAGCAGAAATTCTTTGCAGAAGTTTTCCCAATTATTTTTTCATTAACTGGGTAGAGCAAGTAGTTTGTTTCTATTTAAAAAGGTRGCATCACAATTATCAGAAAGCACGCATACAAAGAATTACCACTTATAACATTCAGTCTGKTTTTTTTTAGTTTTGAATACTAAGACTTGGAAAAGAGACCAAAGTTTTTGAACATTGTATGAAGCAACTTATGTGCTCATTTWCAACAAAAAGTAATTTTAAGAATTCTTTCATATTTATCAAAGTGGCTTGTAATAATATGATATATGCAAATCCATGGTAGCAAAATGTTATATAATATACTTGTTATAACATATAAACGTTATATAATAATCTACTAGCATGAATTAGACACCAATGCAAGAAATGAAGCTTAAGATACTTATAAGGAAGATCTCAGTGCTTCRTACTAAGAATTCAATCTGGCACTAAACCTTCCTCATATCTGGGTATATCATGACTGAGTTTCTTTCTTCAAAGCTTCTAGTCTTTGTAGCAATGCATTTCCAAACACCTGTCGATATGCAGGGCTGAGAGAGTCCAACAAGGAGTAGACAGTTTCATGGTATGGAGTTTGCAGTCTGTCATCAGTCTGATCAAAATCATAAGCTACTACCTGCAACAAAGAATAGGGTGGTTAACTTTCTGTGGTGATGATCATCTTGGCACATGTAGCACAACATTTAACTTTGCCAGTCGGGGTAGTACACTAATGAGAGAATAAAAAATAGTGGATTTAAATCAGAGTCTGCTTTCTACTAGAGAGCTTACTGGTTATACAGTATTTAAGACAATTTCAAATAACTTTTGTCCAAAACTCAGAATACTGKTAAAATACATCAATATGATCTTTGAAGTCTCACATCTACACATCTGAACAGAAATTACAAATGGTGCAAAAAGGAATAGATACTGTATCGACTTGTTTGGGTAGCTAAGAAACCCAAAGACTGACAGGCTTGTAACAAATTGTTGATTCAATCTTCATCAATTTATGTCTTAAATAAATTCCTGTTTTTTTCACTAACTTMCCTTCTTGCTTTGTTGAAAGTAACTAGGTTAAGTTCCCTATTCTAGAAGAAAACATGTAGATCAGGCTTCCATAAAAGAGGARAGAGTGAAGTATTTTTCTAGGCACTTTTTGAATACGTTCATTGTTCAAAACAAAGAAGTTTATGAAATTATAAACTAATTAGTTTACCCTGAGTCCTGCTTCAGTGAGCTCCAGACAGTATCTGTTCCTTTCCCTGGTTTCCACATTGATATATGCCACATCCTCTGCACAGGGAAGGGTCTTTGACACAAACATGTTGCTGACGGCAAACAAAACATCATTTACAACAGCTTCAGCTTCTAGTCTCATATCTTTCACGTCTGTTCCTTCAAAGTCTCTGTAATCAGAATCCTCTTCAAACCCTGTATTATCAGGCAACTCCATAGGATTGCAATCAGTCTCCATTCTGCACATAGAAACATTTTAGATTTATTATACCACTACATTCAATATATATTAACATTATAAACCACGTTATATTTTAAGCAGACATATTTAACATTGTTCAAAAAAAGGAAACTATGAGATCCTGTGACTTCCATAACTCATGAAATGGCAGTCTAGAGAACTCAAACTCAAGATATTCAGAACAAATGCTGAAGATTACATGAACATTTAGAAGCAATATCAGTATCACTCAAGCTAGGTTTTTTTTAGGCAAGCTAACTCACATTCTGTTGTATAAGACTGTTATGATTCGGCAGTCATTAATTCTACCCTTTGCTGATCCAGAATGCAGGAAGAAGACAAATTATGCCTGAAAAAACTGAAATCAATAGCTGAAGACAATAAAAACCTACYGTTGGTGAATTTAAGGAAGACTTAGTTCACTTAGTCTGTGAACTAAATGGGTTATCAGAGACTTAAAGGCATTAAGTGCAGCTGTTTGTTACAGTCACTAAAGAATAAAGCTCCTGTTCGTCTTTCACGCACAAGTGCCGATACATTTCAGAGACGCAGGCGGCTGGTCTTTGTGAGCAACTGGTACCAAAACCGGACAGCCCCAGTGAGGTTATCACCGAGGCTCCGGCAGTGGCCCCGCGGGTAAGAGTGTCGCCAGGAGGCCTCAGCTGATACCCGTGAAGCCTGCCTGAGGCAGCAGGTAAAACCCCTTGGGACTCTGCCCTTAGAGCTCTGGTAACTGAGCATTGCTGTCAGGAGGAAATGGGGGCTGCCTATCACCGATCCGCTACATGCGGGACATTCATTCCACGAGATCCACCGTTTCCTGCCAAATCCCACCTTGCATCTACAAATAGCGAATAACCGGAGGGCAATAGGGGAGCCGGATACCGAGCTGCGCAGCCTCCCGCTCCCACGGACCGCACCCCCGCCGCGCCCCGGAGCGCACCCACCAGCGCCGGCGGGCGGCCGAGGCCCCGCCGCCCGACCCTGCGCAGCTCCGGACGCGACCGCCGTGCCGCCCCGCCCCGCTCGGCTCGGCTCGGCGGACAGCGCCCRCCCCGCTGCTTCCCGGGCCTCTCCCGGGAGAGGCGGCCCCGCCGCCACCAGCTGCGCAACGCCTTCCGGCCGGGCCGCCCACTCCTGCGGCCGCTTCCGCCCCCGCCTCCTCCGCTCGGCGACGCCACTTCCCTCACGTCACGGTGCCGGTGGTCGGCGGGGGGGCGCCGGGAGGAAGGAAGGAGACGAACGGCCGCGATCGGCCTSGCCGCTCTCGCCGGCGGCGCAGTGCAGACGGGGAGGGGCTGCCCGCCCGCCGGATCCCGGCCCCTTCCCCGCGCAGCGCGGCTGCCGCGGCCCCTCCGCGCCCGCCGAGAAGATGGCGGCGGTGTCCGAATGAGGATGGAGCTGCCTGTCTGCGCCTCTTCGCCCTAGGGCGGGCAGTGCCGCCCCGCCGGGGCGTGAGGGGCGGCGGCGGTGCCGTCCGGCASGGGGAAAGACCCCGCGGTAGCCCGCGCCGACGGGCGAGGCTTGGCCTAGCGGCCCCCAGTCCGCTCCCTCGCGTCTCCGCTCTCCGCCCGGCCCCGGCCCCGTCCCCGGCCCCGTCCCCGTCCCGCCGCCCGGCCTCGCGGCCCCCGGTGTGCAGCCGCCATGCCGTGGCCTTTCTCGGAGTCCATCAAGAAGAGAGCCTGCAGGTACCTGCTGCAGAGGTACCTGGGCCACTTTTTGCAGGAGAAGCTCAGCCTGGAACAGCTCAGCCTGGATCTCTACCAGGGCACCGGCTCCTTGACGCAGGTCCCTCTGGATAAGTGGGTAAGGGATGCTGGCACTTCACCCTCTCGGCTCCTGCTGTGTCTGAGGACCAGCTGATTCTCTGCCCCCGACTGCCACCCACTTTATTTTCAATGCCCTGCCTCTTTTATGTAAAAAGTTATAGCCAGAATTAGCATTTAATCCAGGGAAGTGTTGTCTGATAGCGCTTAAGAATAAAAAATTAAATCTGGGCATTTATTAGAGATATGTTTTTCTTGCCACACTTCGATTGCACAATTTTTCATTATCAGAAAGGAAATAAAAACTGAAAGAAGTCAATAGTCGCTGCGATTCCAGAGAGAATGAGTTAGTGTAGCCAAACTACTAGAAATCGCCGTAGTTACTGAGGAATATGTTTACCGACTACTAGAGATGGTGAAAACAAAGTACTGCCTGTGGTATCTATGCTTTGTCTTCATCTCTGAGACATCTTGGTTCTTAATGATATTGTTACGCTGAGCTTAGTCTGTGTAGATCTCTAAAGAATTGTCCCCTAGTCTTGGAATTGTGAAAGTACTTGTTGACAATTAGAAAGCTGATTTTAGCTGGAGTTTGCTTAGCAGGTGACCTATCACTCTTTGAACAAGCCGAGGCTTTTTTCTTTCCAGTCCCGGCATGTTTGTTTTTTTTATATGTATTTGTCTTACACGTAGATATGTATACTTCTAGCCTACTGTAGAGACAGACCTTTGGATTAATGTATTTGTAACATTTTGTAAAGGCTTTTGATTTAATTGCCAATGTTACCGAATTCTGTCTGTCAGTCAGGTGTCTGTCATGAGGAGCCTTAAGCACTCCAGTGTATCAGTCACTGACTTCGAGGGTAGCATAGATGATGAGCTAGGTCCTTTGCTGTAATGTTTTCTAAAACACATTTTTACTAGAATATGTACTGGTATTAGGTCATGCTGGGTCTGTTTTAAAACACTTGTGAATATGTGATGTTTCCAAGTAATGCTTTTACAGTTGTTTGCTTGAAAGTGGTAGGGAACAGACGTTTACAGAAATGATCAGTATTTGAGTGTGGATATTTTTGTTTGCTTGTTTGTTTCCTTCTTTTCTTTTCTGGCTGTGTCTGCAGCTTGTTTTCTGTAGCAGGCTTGCAGTGAGGCTGCCTCGCTTTAATTGAATTGTTATGCCCTCTAGTGGGTTGTCGAGCACTCTTTATGAGCCAAAGGAATATTATTTAAAATGTAAATACTTTGTAGCAAAGCAGTTACGGGGCGGTACTAAGTGAAGTGTTCATAACGTATACGCAGTGATTAAATGGATATACAGTTATGCTTAGGTGATCTTCCCCATTTGTGTATCAGCAGTTTTCTGTTCCATTGTAAATAACGACATGTTTGAGGTTCTCTACACGGGATTCTCATGTATGACAGATTGCAAAAGCAGATGTTGCGGAAGTACTACAGCTCTATTTTCCCCCTAGTCATGGTAACCTTGGTCTCAGTGAATCACCAGGATGACATGTGTTTTTACATGGTATCCATTTTTGTGAGTGCTTGTGTTTGTCTCAGCAGTGTAGATACCTTAGCCTACATTCTATGTGTTTCTAAGACTGTAGAGGAGTGGTGGAATTCCTGGCCCTGTTRATGTAAAGCTTTTGCCTTTTGGAGCGTGGGCTGTTCAGAAGAATCAAAATGTAATGTGGGATGTTTATGTTTGAATTTTAGTATACATTAAATAGTACTTTTGTGGACTGTTGGTCAATAGTGTGGAAACAAGTCCTGATGTGAAGGCTGTGCTTCAGTTTTAAAATTTCACTTGGAATGCTCTAATTACTTCCTTCTAGGAACAGCTGGCCTGTTCATGAAGCTATTTAGCTCAAGAGTACTTCAGTTTTTGGCTTTTAGATAGTAAATTTCTATTTTAAAATAGTGTTCTGAAATACATTCATTTTTATCACCATGCACATGGGTAGCAAAAGGACATCTGAGTCAGATTTATTCAAAATATGGTAGCTAGCTTACTTTCTGTTATGGCGTATTACTTTGTCAATTTAAGAAATTGAAAGGAGCCTGTGTTATTGAAAAATACAGTTTTCATCTCTAATAATTATTTTTGCCTTACTTTATGCCATTGCCACATGTATAATTCTTAATTATAAGTTCAAATATGTTGGAGCTTTTATATTATTTATTTTATATCATTTTAATGTCACTGAAATTTAGTTGATTATTTGATTCCTGAATAATTTCCTGATAGGATTGTCCAGGTTCTGTTTCATTAAAGTCTGTCTTTTCCTGCTGCTTGAGTGGACTTTGGAACAGATACTAGAAAAACTGAACATGCAAGCAAACAAAATTCTAAAAGCAAAGGTATTAAGAGCATAAGGAGAGCAACGAGTTAATATGATGGGAAAGTTGCACCTGGAGACATAAGAATGAAATATGTAGTTTTCTGAAAACTTATTTTCCTAATTTTTAAATAATTCTCTATAATTGGAACTTTTTTTTTAACAATTAAAATGGAAAACACCTTTAAAATCCTTATTTTTTTCAAAACTTATGATGTTGAATTTATGCGGTAAAATCAGTGGCCTTGTTCAACACAGGAAGGTCAAAACCACACTTTTTCTTGCCAGTTGAAGATTATGTCCTATTATTACAACCACAGTCTTTAGTAGAGTCTTACCTATATTGGAAAGTTGCACTTATTGAATTTGGTATGTGAGTAAGATTGGGTTTTGTTCTTTTTAAAGCAGCCTAGATACTTCTTGTCTAAGAGYTTCAGTTTTAATTACATTTTTAAATCAAAGCACAGGCAGGAACTCACTTTTTTAGCATAAATGCAAAGAATATGTTTCATCTGTATGGATGTGATGAAATCTATATAGAAAAACAAGGGAGTCTTTTCTGAGGATTGTGGAAAACTTAAAAGTCCCGAGTTACTATGTTAGAGCTGGTATGAAACTTTGGGCAACTTGATGGTAGTATTGTTTATGATATATTTATAATGTCACTATAAAGACATGATTTAGAAATGGCAAGTACGTCACTCAGCAAGAGATAACTGTTTGGGTCTGTTGTTCCGCTGTCACAGAGAAATAAAAAATGAACTTTACATTGAAATTACGTGCTATGAAATATTCCTGTCACAGAAACTAGATACTTTTTGTGCTTTTACTGTCGGTTTTCTTCAAGTACCAAAGTGCTAAAAAAGAACAGTTTAACTTTTGCTAGTACTGCAGTATTTATAAGAGTAAGTTAGCAGACTTTTTTTTTGTGTAGGGCAAAAATACAGATTATACAGCTACCACAGAGCAATCTGTGTTATTCTGAAAGCTAGGTAATGTGAAATTGCAATGGAATTGAAATACACTRAAAGTGTCCTTTTTTTTGTCTGAGTATAATTAATTTTCTAGTAGCCTCAAAGTGTTTTATTTGTTAGAGGCAAAATTATGAATGTGATGTTAAAAAAACTATGATTTTAAATTTTATTTTGTTTTCTTTTAGTGTCTTAATGAGATCCTGGAATCTGCTGATGCACCTCTGGAAGTCACAGATGGATTTATCCAATCAATTTCTTTATCTGTTCCGTGGGGGTCTTTGTTGCAGGATAACTGTGCATTAGAAGTAAAAGGATTAGAGATGGTCTTCAGGCCAAGACCAAGGCTTGGTAGGCTTATTTTCTGATTTTATAAAAGGAGTCTTTACAGTTTTTCAGTCAAAAGTCTACCCTTGCTTTAGCAATTCTTAGCCTTATTTAAAATGTCATTTAGTTCCCATACATTAATAGTTGAGAATTAATAAAAAAAAGAAAATGTCAGGTGTTTGTTGATTGTTAGCTCAATTAATTGTTGCTCTGTTAAATAGCTTAAAATGCTTAAAATCCTACATTTGTATGTCTGTAAGCTGTTTCAGACCTATAGAAATGGAAGTGTGAGAAGGAATTTTTGTTAGGTCATGTTTTTGGGTGTTGTTTGCACAGTGCTATGAGGCAGCATTGGTAGCTGGCTGTAGAGTGGCAGCCGGACAATGCCATAGTGTAAGACTGGGAGGGGGGTTTTGGGAGGTTCTGGCTTCCTTTAGCTACTTTGGGCGAAAAGATGCATCTTCTTGTATATTTGGGGAACAACAAATGCAATTTAATTACTATCACAGTCTGAAATAATGACTTT